CCTTTGCAATTCCAGATCGCTTACAATTTTCTTCATAACTCTCTTTCTTTTTCTTTTTTTTTTTTACTTATGTCTACCTACGTTTATGGGTCTTTGATATCATTAAGATTTCTGGCCCTTTTACGAGTAAAGGCTTACGGCCACATCATGTTGAAACGGCGGCCCCCGTACGATGAACGAAGTTAAGCAGATCGAAACCTAGTCAGTACCTGGATGGATGACCGCTTGGTGATGTAAGCTCAGATTTGAGGAACCTTGTAATGGATAATGACTTAGAATTGTTAATCAGAGAGCCGAGTTCAAATTTCAGTTCGGTTCGTTATATTCACTTATGTGCCAATATCTTGGAAATGGTATGACTCCACCTCTTCTCCTCCCAGCTATGGGTTAATTAGTAAGACCTGTATCACGAACCCATCTTCAAAAAATAAAATAAAATTGCGTGCAAAATATTTAGATTTTGACATTAGAGGTTGATATGTTGGTTTTAAAAGTAGCTTAGATGTTGTACAATGGCGAAAGTACGGGGCAGCCAATTAGGATCGAACTCACTATTCAGTCGTAATTGATCTAGCGATAAAAGCTTCCTATCCAGTCCACCAAGTCGAAATCCCTGAATAGAACTTGATATGACACTACACAAAGACAACTAACCAACTTTACCAGTCAAATGATGAAGGACCTTTTTATCTCGATTCCATTTTCTTTTCAACTCGATGCGCCTGCTTCGTCTCACGCCGTCCGCTAACATGTGGTCGAACAAATACATTGAATCAATAGCTTCATCTACCGCAAGGAAAGTTGGTCCTCTGTGTTGGGCCAGAAAGTTTTTCTCGTCTGAGTCCATCCTTCAAATCTATAAATCAACCATCCGTCCTTGCATGGAATATTGCTGTCATATAAGGTCTGAAACCTCCGCTGCACGTCTTGAGGTCCTCGACAAACTCCAGAGACGGATACGCAATGTATTGTTCTGATCTGGTATCTCGTCTACAGTCACTTTCTCACAGACGGGTCTGTCTCTTCTACAAATATTTTTACGGCAACTGTTCCGACGAGCTACGCTAGTTCCCAGACTGCGTGAATTTAAGCGTGCCACTAGGTTGGCATCTCAGTCCCATTCTTTCACTGTCGAAACGGTTAAATGTAACCGTCTCTTCTGCACAAATATCATTTATCGCACTTCCCGGCAGTGGAACTCCCTTCCGCTTCTATGATAACTATAATCTTCAGATATTCAAGTTCAATGTCAATCAACATCTTTTGATTCTTTGATCTGGTTCCCCGTCCGTCTCTTTATGACTTCCGCAAACGCACCTCTTTACTCTTGTTCCCAACCCTCTGTAACCCTTTGCGTGCTAGTGGCATTCCCGGCTTGCTTACGGTGAAATGGTTAAAAAAAAACTTCATTTTTTTCTTACTTCTTAACTTTTTTCATCTCTTTCTTTGTTTCTCTTACTTCTCTTCTTCTGTCTACCTACGATTATCGTTCTTTGATATTATAATTTCTGGTCTCTTAACTAGAGAGAAAGAATGATGGCGGATCTTGTATTTCCTTTCATTTTCTCTTTAAACTTAATCACCGATTTCTTTCCTGATTTGTGTTTTTCTTTAGTCATTTCTTTGCTCTCTCTCTAGGTTTATCCTACTTGTTTACTTTATTTAAATTCGGTCTAATCTGCTCATCTCTGTTGTTACTATCACAACTTTTCGGACGTATGGTGTATGACGAACAGGATAACCTTCAGGTAATTTCGGGTGTAGATTGTTCCCGTCCTGCTACGTCTACCGATATGACCTTTTGTTTTTATGCGGTTATTGCACGCCAGGTTTCTACTAAGAGTGTACGTTTTTATTACTAGGGTTGAAGTCAAAATTATTGTCCCATCAAATTCACGGCGTCCTTGCTATGATGATAAACTACATCCGCGTCCCGGGTAAGAAGGATAAACTACATCCGCGTCCCGGGCAAGACGATAAACAACATCCGCGTCCCTGGTAAGACGATAAACTACATCCGCGTCCCGGGTAAGACGATAAACTACATCCGGCAGCAAGGCCTCTGAACAAGAGGTTTTGAGGAGCGTGGAACCAACTCTTAATTGCTGGCGTTCCCAGGTCTACCCTGAATCGTGGTGGTAGAACCTGTTAAGGTACCAGCTATGGGCAAATAGTTCACCCCAAACTGGGGCCAAAACACTTTGAAAGTTAAAAATGTATTCCTAGTATTAAAATACTAGGAATACATTTTTTAAGGAAAGAATACTACCAACAATACATTTTTATATAAAAAAAATTATTACCAGCAATACATTTTTGAAAAATAATATTTTACCAGAAATATATTTTTGAAAAAAAAATAAAAAAATATTACGAGTAATAGATTTTTGAAGGAAAAAAATATTACCAGCAATACGTTTTTGAAGAAAAATTACCATCAATAAAAATCTTGTCGGCATTAAATAACCCATTGAGGTTGATATGCCGTAAAACAAAACAAACCAAACCAAACCAAACCAAACCAAACCAAATTCACGAACCTCTTAATTACTGGTGTTCCCAGGTCCATCCTGACCCGGGGTGGTAACACCTGTTAGGGTCCCAGCTATGGGAAAATAGTTAAACCCCATACTGGGGTCAAAACACAATGAAAGTGTGAAAATAGATCTTAATACCAGAAAAATTATTACCACCAATAAATTTTTTGAAGAAAGAATTATTACCAGCCATACATTATTGCCAGCAACATATTTTAGGCAAAAAAAATATATATAACCAGCAATACGTTTTTGAAAAAAAAATTATTATCAGCTATACATTTTTGAAAGAAATATCTATATTACCAGCTATGCATTTTTTGGAAAAAATATTACCAGAAATAGATTTTTTGAAGGAAAAAATATTACTAGCAATACACTCTTGAAAAAAAAATATTACCAACAATAAAAATCTTGTTGGCATTAAATAAGCCATTGACGTTGATATGCTGTGAAACAAACCAAACCAAACCAAACCAAATTTACGAACCAATGTTTTAATCCACTTAGCCATTTTCCCGATTTTCTATGGATCGCAGGCATTACGAATCATTTCGGACAAGCCTTTGACGTTATTCCGTAGCAACCTCAACCGAGAACTTGGGGTCTTAAACGTAGTGTGCTTTTTCCGGCGGCTTCTGTCATCCCTCTTGACTTCATTTTCCGTCGCTTTTCATTAATTACTGCAGCTGTTCAGGCCTCACTGTCATTTAATTTCTTTGATTATAAATAGCTTCGATACTGTGTTTATTTCTGTTAGGCTTCACAGATAAACATATGCGCTGATTCCTTCAGATGTCTGATTCCCTAGTGTTCTCCTCTGGCTAGCACTTTTACCTCAGTTAAACAAGGACCACGTGCCCTACATGATCGGCTATGTCTAATTTCATTGTCTTACAATTACGGCTTTTCGATGTTCTTCCAGCTTTAGAGAGCGGCTAGTTTCAACTTTGTAATCTTTGTCACGCATGTAAGATAAGGAAATACACACAGTTCTTGATCATGTTGTCTTCTTTGTTAGGGTTGGCCGAAATAGTTTTAGAAAGGGAAAAGACAGCAAGGCTTCAGCAGCAGCAAGGAAAGTGTTGGGGCCACCCACAATATAGGACAGTGCTAGAGAGATCAGGGGGGATCACGAGTTCAGGAGATCTAAGAGATCAGGAGATCACGAGATCAGGAGGTCATTACACTTCCGTCTCTCTACCGGAAGTTACCGTTGGACTTTAGACTCTTGCTGATTGTTACTACTAACCTGCGTTCCTTATTACTAATCACTCTGTTGTTAAATACCTCTTCAAATATACCAGTATTTTTCCCTACATCTGTGTTTGTCCTTATTTCAACACGCGCACGCGGGAACACTCCCAACATCTCAACAGAAAGAGAGGCAGCAGTGAATGTGATCAAGCATGACGAGTTGAAGTATTAGTAGTACAGATTCAGAGAAAACGGGACGAGAAGTACTAAATAAAGACAGGGCGAGATATCTTTAGACATGGGCAGCGGGACGAGAACAGTCTACTCTTAGGGATTAAATATCAAGTTCAGTTCAAAAGAATATGAGGAAATTAGTATATTTCATTCCATGTTTTATTTTTTATCTTCTCTTTCAGTCGTTCTATCTTCCTTTTCTCGTTTAACTTTCTTTTTATTTTTGTCTCGTCTCTTTGTTTTTTGTTCTTTTCTTTATTTTCCTAGATAGTTCAGATTGTCTTTCTTTCGTTGCACAGTTCATTTTTTCAATATTTTATGCTTGCTTTCGTTCTTTTCTTCTTTTCTCAACTCCCCAGGTCTCTTTATTTATTTTCCCACATAGTTCACTTTTTTTTTTCTTTCTTTCTTTTGTTTCTTTGTTCCTGTCTTTCTTTCGTTCTTTCTTTCTCTGTTTCAACTCTCTGGGTCTCTTTCATTCTTTATTTTCCCACATCGTTCACCATTTTATTTATTTCTTTTGTTGCATTGTTCCTTTCTTTCTTTCTTTCTTTCTTTCTTTCTTTCTTGTTTACGTTCTTTCTTTCTTTGTTACATCCCTTCTTACTTCATTTTCCTAACTTTTTCAGGTTTTCTTCCCTTTCTTCTGTTGCATTGTTTAATTATTTGACATCAGTTACTTCTCTGTAAATCTCATTAAAATGTATTTACTTTTCTTCAGAAATTCTGAGAAAGGCCCTTTTTGTCTCCTTTCTTTCCATTTTCCTTCTATTTTCGACTTAAGCTTATCTTTCTCATATCTATTTATAAATTGAACTTTCTACATATGAATAACATTGAAATAACATTTTTTTCCTACGGCCTTTATATTTAATCGTATTTTTGTTTTCCCCTTTCTTTTCCTTCCCTTCTTTCTAATTCTCCACTTTTGGGCTTTTCATTCTTTCCTTTTTCTAGTGTCTGCCTAGATTTATCGGCTTTATAAGTCATTAATTCCTGATATTATTTCTTCGGAAGAAATAACGAGAAGTAATGTATCTTTCTTTTATTATTTCTCTTCATTTGATGGTCAAAAGGTGCCTTTTTTCTTTCTTTTTCTTTGTTCTCTTCTTCGCTTTATCTAGGTTTATCATTTTTATATGCTAATAAAACTTGTTTTATTTTTAACAGAAAAGTTGATTGGAAATTTTATATCTTTCTTTCATTTCACTCTCTAATCTATCCCTTAATATCTTTCTTTGTTTTTCTTTCTTCCTTTCTTTATTTTTTTCGTTCTTTTTTTCTTCTTTTTTTCCTTCTTACTTGCTTTATTATTTTTTATTTTTTCCTTCTTTTCTTTTTTCTTTCTTTCTTTTCTTTTTTCATTGTGTGTTTCCTTCCTTCCTTCTTTTTTTCTGTCTTTCTTTCTTTCTCATTTCTTTCTTTCCTTTTTTGTTTGTATGTTTCTTTTTCCGTTTCCCTTTTCTTTGTTTCCTTTCTTCTTTCTTTCTTTCTTTCCTTTTTTGTTTGTATGTTTCTTTTTCCGTTTCCCTTTTCTTTGTTTCCTTTTTTCTTTGTTTCTTTGTTTCTTTCTTTCTTTCTCATTTTTTTCTCTCCTTTTTTGTTTGTATATTTCTTTTTCCGTTTCCCTTTTCTTTCTTTCTTTCTTTCTTTTTTCTTTCTTTTTCGGGTTCGCTTTTGCCCTCTCCATAATTTTATCTTTCGTTACCACTATTAACGAGGAATCATGTATCTTTCTTCCATTTCACCCTTCTCTTTTATTCTTTCATTCATTTAAACTTTCATTCACGTAAACCTCTTAATATCATATCTTTTTCCTTCCTTTTTTCTTTCTTTTTTTCTTTCTTTCTTTTTTCATTCGCCCCTTCAACTTTCCATCCTTGTGTATTCGTTTCTAGTTACACATTTAGAGAACTTTGATATTTCAGACACTTGATTAATGAAGAACGAACACAGAAGATTTGGGCTTTTGGATCTACACACTTTGGAAAAGGTCATGTTCACCGGAAATTCATCTCAAGACAAAAGCCATAGATAGGTAACAGTGTCTTCGAGAAGCAATACTCAGAATGGTTTGGGGAACGATGAAAGGGAAAGATAACTGCGCATGCGCAGACAATAGATCGGTGGCCAACGGTAATTTAAGATTTAAATCTCATACTCTGGTGTTATAAAAGTCTTTATTTCTATTTTAATCAAAATTTAGTTCAGACCCAACGATAACTTTGCCTATCCGGAAGTGACATTTTGGTCGCAAATGGTCCAGTTTCAAGTGAATATAAAATAAGAAGCCAGGTCTTTTTAATGCGTGGATATTCTAGATTTTACAAGTATTAAATTTACTCCATATCTTTAAAAAAAAAAAAAAACTGCACAAAGTTGAATGTCAAAAACGGGAATATACACTTTAAAGGGGCACTTTTTATGCTCATTTCTCCTCCTCCTTCTTCTTCTTGTATGTTCCGTGTCCCTTCAGGACGTAGGCGATCATGGCTCTCCACTTCTTCCTATCCCTTGTAGCTCTCAATAATTTTTGTCTTTTTGCTACTTCTCCCAGGCCATGTTCTGTCATCCACCTGCTTAAGCCCGCTAAGTATGTAACGCGTTGCTTTCCCTCGTTCCTCTTTCTCTCTATCCCCTCCTATGAGTATCAGATTCTCTAAGTCTTCCTTTCTTATTACGTATCCCAGGAATTTCAGCTGCCACTTCCTGATGTTAAGTAAAAGTTTCCTCTTTGTTTGCATCCTAATCGTTTCTCACATGTTTAGTCCATGGTATCCTTAGCATCCTTCTGTAGAACCATACCTCTTTTGCCTCGAGTCTCTTCTTCATCTTTGAGGAGACCGTCCAACATTTGCTGCCGTAAAGATATCACGTAGCAGTTCAGTACTCTTTTTTTTTGTTACCAAAGACGTCCTCCTGTCTTTTAACACTCTGTCTCGCTTTTAGAATGCATCCCAATAAGTCTTCGGATCTCAGCGTCGCACTTACCGTCCTCTGTCAGAACACTTACCAGGTATTTAGATTTCCGAACCGGCTTGAATTTAGTGTCCCTGAACTGTAAACCGCATTTTGGGCTCATCTTTTTGCTGATGACTATACATTCTGTCTTCTTCTTTTATGAGTAGTCCCTTCTTCATGCTCTCCTTCGCTGCCTTCTGGAGGAGGTTTTGTAGTTTCCTTTGGACGTCTCCTATAAACAATGTCATATGCCTATCTTATGTTAAGATTTGTGCCGCCAAAGATGAACCCTGGAAGTTTTCCAGTTCTCTCAGAATTAACTCGCTGTATAGGTTGAATAAGTCCGGTGAGAAGACACATCCTTGCCTTAGACCCTTTTTATATATTTGTATATCTGCTGAATTCATTTTTTATCTTTATGCAGAAGGTTTGCTGCCAGTAGAGATTCTTGATTATTCTAATGACTTTCCTGAATATATTAAGGTTGCTGAGAAACTCTAACAGATCTGTGTGCCGTACTTTGTCGAAGGCCTTTGTGTTGTCTTTAAAACACAGGTGCATATCCTTCTGAATTTATATTGCTCTTTCTGAAAACATTCTCAGCATGACTATCGCTTTCATTGTCCCGGTGTCTTTAATGAACCCGCACTGTTCTTGTCCTATCTCTGGACCGATTCTACTTCGCGCTCTGTTCATCTCTCGTAATATTCTGCCTAGCTTTTCGAATGCGTCTTTGGCCATCCCAATATGCCTTCGGATCTCAGCGTCGCATATACCGTCCTCTGTCAGAACACTTCCTAGATAAATTAAACTTCCACACCTGCTTGATTTCAGTGTCCCCGACCTGTAAATCGCATTTTGGGCCTCATCCATTTACTGATGACCATGGATTCTGTCTTTTTGTAGTTTATGCTTAGTCCTTTCTTCTCGCTCTCCTTCGCTATATTTTTAGGTTTTTTAGTTTCCTTTCTGTGTCTCCACTGTGTCATCTGCGTATTATATGTTGTTAAGATTGTGGTCGCCAATGATGAACCCTGGTAGGATTTCCAGTTCTCTCGGAATTACCTCGCTGTATAGGTTGAATAAGTCCGGCGATAAGACACAACCTTGCCTCACGCTCCTTTCTATATTTGTATATCTGCTGAACTCATATTTTATCTTTATGCCGGCAGTTTGCTGCCGGTATAGAGTTTTGCTTATTTTAATGTCTTTAACGATTATGGCAAGATTGCTGAGCAGCTGTAACAGATCTTTATACCGTACTTTGTCGAACGTCTTTGCGTAGTCTATAAAACACAGGTGCACGTCCTTCTGAATTTATATGGCTCTTTCTGGCAACGTTCTGACATTGAATATCGCGTTCCTCGTTCCGGTGTCTTTGACAAACCTGCAATTAATTATATAAAAAAAATATTATAATGAAATGATAAAACGCTTTGACATGATAAAAAGACATAGGGGGAAATAATAATTAATGTAAGGCCCCTAAATTTAATATTTTTTTAACAGTATGATACTTCTTGAAGAATTCTATGCACAAATAACTTGGGTATTCTTTGCACCAATTATAACCATTCCTGGCTTGTTTTTTTATTTTTTTTTTCATCTAGAAGTATAGTGTAACCCGGATATAAGAGAGTTGTCGGGACCGGAGAAGAAGTCTATTATATCCGTGTTTCTCTTATATTCGGGTTTGATCTATTTTATATACATTAACACAGGCTCTAATTTGGAACCAGAGAAAATCTCTCTTATATCCGGGTCTCTTATATCCGGGTTACACTGTATATATACAGTTGTAGTAAATGCGTTTCGAGTTGTAACGTTATTTACTTTTTGTTCTCTATTTTTTTAAATTTTTTTTACTATTGGTTCAGAATAGTCATCCGCTGTTATTTAATGTTGTGGATTCCGAGATGAATTCGGTCTCCAAGGAATGGCAAACGCAATAATTAAATATAAGAAATAAAATGTATTTACACAATCATACAAAGGGTAGTACTGTTAGTAAGTCCAGGAACGCGGTTAGTAGCAAATACAGATAGATATATACAGTCTCGAAGTAGGACTTCCTTAGAGTCTACGTGCTTGTAACTGACTTCTACCAGAGGTTACCTCACACTATCTCCGTTCGTATATACTCTCTCTCTCCGTATATCCTCTCTTTCCGACTACTCTCACTGACTGTCTACTCTGGGTATTTAACGGCAGCCGTCCAAGTAACACTGGTAGTGTCCACTTATATGAAAAGGGGAGGATCCCCATAACATTTAACTTTCAAATATGTTTAACAACGAGAATAATAATAAAAAGAAAATGTTCCCATATATTCATGATGAAAAGAAGAAAGGACGGAAAACGAAAGAAAGAGAAAAAATAATTACGATTAAATTAAAAGCCAGTAAGAATTAAATTTATTTTTCAATATTATTCATATGCAGGTAATATAAGATTATAATTAGATATGCCAAAGGTTGAGGACAGGAGAAGCCTAAATAGTGAGGAGACGTTGTATTGTATATTTAATTCAAGGATTTCATTTTTCTTTTTCTCTGTTGAATTCCCTGTCTCTATGACATGGGTAATCATGGCTCTCCACAGCGTCTTGTCTTTAGTTACTTTCAAATGCACTTGATTCTTTGTGACCCCCATTTCTCTTTATCGTATTGGTTTTTTCATGCATTTACGCGAAATTGATTTATTCTGCCTCTTTTGCTGCGTTCTGAGAATGGTAAATTATGTAAGCCTTCTCTCCTCATTATTTGTTCCAGACTGTCAACTATTTCTACACACACACACACACACACACACACACACACACACACACACACACACACACACACACACATATATATATTATTTATTTATGTTGAAACTTGACTAATGCATGGAATAATAATGCAACACAAAATGTACTTAGAACAAAATGTATTGAAACAAGAAAGTGTACACAATATTTACATATAGTCTTTTGCATATTCCTGGTAAGACCGTTCCTGGAGAATGTGTTGACTGAGTCGCAGTCGGGCAGAGTCTCTGGTTGAATCTCTTGATTCCTCCCTCTCTTCCCGGTTCCAACCATATTTATATGGTCGGTACTCCACTATGCAAATTAGGTGGATCCTACCACAACAATTTATTTATTTATTATAATTTTATCATATAGACAAAACCATTTTACTCACTACAAAGATGCAACTTCGTTTCGATGCATTTCAACTGCACTTCGACGGGTGAGAATCGAAAATGGTTATGAACAATCCTGGTTGTAGGCAAGCCGTATGTGAAACGTCACTTCCTTTTTTCCATTTGTTTGAGAAGAAAAAATATACATAAAAAAAGGTGACGGAGTAAAACAATAGTGCTTGTTGATAGCAGTTTGGTGATGAATGGATTGGGTTTTTAATGTTGACAGGTCTGTGGAAACTTTTTGCTAATAAACACCGGTCAAAAGCTTAGGCACATCATCTCACAAGTGTCCTAAGAGTGAGAGGTAGGGGAGGAAAGATGGAGATAGGGGATAGTATTACGTTTGAGTAAGTCAAAATTGTAGCTATAGTTCTACTAGTAATTTGGAATGTTATTTTTGGTTAACTATAAAAATTCTAGACCCGAATTGCATGTATTTATGTTGAGTTTATCACTACTAATTCTGTAATAAATGAACGTGTTTTGTGGATTAAAATTTAGAAGTGGTGATTTACTCAAAAAAAAAAAAATATTAAAAAAATAAGGGATGTTATTATAACCCTTTAT